CATACATACATATGTCTCTCGCTCTCTGGCATGTGTGCGAAAGAGAAATGGAAAAAGTGTATGTACGCGAAGTTCGGAAAAACCAACCCCTAGCCTAACGCGATTTTCATCAAAAGCGGAAAAGCGGTTGTGGGAAATTCTACAGAGAAGGTGGAGGGTGGGTCATATGAGCACGTTTTTGCAACATTTCGATTTGTTGGCGCAAATCTCTCACTCAGCAGCACGTAATACATGGGACAGGATACGGCACACACAGGACACATGTACATATGTACATACATATTTACACACACAGGCATACGCCCACATATGTGGAAAAATGGATGGATTAGTCGGGGTCAGCAGTGTGTTGGCAGCCGAAGCCAGACATTGGTCGATGCGATGTGTTCCCATGAGTGAGTAGGATGTACATATATGTATGTATGTATGTACCTATGTACATACATATGAACGAAAACGGAAACTGCATGCGAAGATGAACGCCGAATGCATCTGAGCAAAACATCAAAATATTGATCATAAAGTACTTGGCCGTAGGGACCAAGACCCACTTCTAAGCCTAAGAGGGTTCTGTACTGTATTTGTATCCAGTACATAAGATCCATTTCTGGGTGCTGTGTGTAACTTTCAGAGCCTATTTTCAGCGCTTTTGTTTTCTCCCCCTTTTTTAGTTCATTTGCATGTTATGATTTGTTTGCCTGCGCTTTGTTTCCAGCGTTTCCTTTTCGCCATACATTTTAATTGTCTTTTTTTCGAATTTTATTTTGCCCCTTTTTTCGCTGGTAAACGACAGCCTGGCTGAAAAGTTGAGAGAGGAGACAGCGGTGTTGTGTTACGGTTGCGCCCGTCCCCATTTTGGGCCTTTTTCCATTTTCTATTTTCTAGTTGCACCTTTGTCGTGTCAGGATAGCTTTGGCCGCTCCATTTCTTTAATTTCATTCTGCCCTGAGCCGAACTTGGTCTTGAAGTTAAACAAAGCAAGTTTTCTGTTCTCTTTCTTCTTTTTGTCCAGAGTTCTCAGAGATTTAATAACTTGGATTCGTACTTAAACTATTTCCCACCCAAGTTCATGGAGGATGAAAAAAGCAATTTCATAATTGATATGGACGGAAATGTGCGGCAAGTAGTGCTGTTCAGTCAACCATAAAACTATCCAAAAAATGCTACGCATATTTAATGAGGAGGGGGTAGAGATAGACCCGCAAATCAGCTGGTCCATATGTCGCTAACCAGACTCAAATTTTCAGATCAGATCAATCTGTGGGGGTAGAAAGCGTACAATGAACAAAAAACGGAACTGAACCAAAACTGCACGCATGCGCGATTTGATTATGCAAATCTGGGAGTAGGAGACTCAATGCAGGAGAGTGCTGCGTTTCATATGCAAATGCAGCTCAGACAAAGGACAAATAAAGGATACGTTTACACATTTTTTACACCTTCCAACAAAGCGTTGAGAGTGAGTGAATGATAGAGAATGGAACTGATTCAAGGGGTTGGCCCTGTCGCCTGGCTGCTTGCCCGAATGCACCTCTTTCCATGGGGTTCCAAAGGGATTTATTTCGAATTTATGCAAATTAGGTTTTCAACTATTTCGATTTTCAATACGAGGGACCTGTGTAGAGTGGTGCCGCTCCTGCTGCCATGTTCCCGTTTCTTCTTGTTGCCATATGCAGCGTGTGCCTGCCGTGCTCGCTGAAGGTCTGCTCGCGACAGCGACTGCTGCGTCTCTGTCAGTGTGGCTGGAAAGCCCGAGTGGAAATTTACATTTTCATTGCCCGAGCACGCTTTTCCTCGCCACCCCTTCCGCGTACGTTTTCGCAGCACACGTGCGCATGTCTCCGTCTCCGGTCCAGGACGCAGCTATATTTTTCTTTTTTGCCGTATTTTCCCTGGCTGCTCAATTTTTCACGCTCGCGAAAATGAGCGCGCGCTTGAGATGAATTGTGGTGGGTGGAGGTCTGGGGGAGGATGCGCCCTTTCTCTCTCCTCATCTCGCTCCATATCTTTCTTCTCCCTCGTTATCCTTTAGATTTTCAAGCACATAGCGGGGTTGCAGCTAGTGGAGGAGTGGAGGCTGGCGAGTGGGGGGGAGGTGTGGGTGGCGCCTGTAGGTGCGCCCGTTTGTGATAAAGGGGTTCTTGACTCGCCTGATAATTATGAAATGTATGAAATTCCCTTTGTATGGGCTATATACGAGACCCACCAACTGTGGGAGGAGGATTATGATGATGATGGGGATGGGGATGATGATGAGAAGGGGGCTACGAAGAAGCTTTCTGGTCTGCTTGCTACACGAGCCGTTTTGTAGTGGGGTAGAGGGTGATGGCAGGCAGTGCCGAGTAGGCGACGCCATAATGGCCAGCATTTACTAATTAAGAGCTCACAAGTTCCTCCATGTCCGTCGTCCGCTGTCCGTGGTCCGTTGCCAGTGGCTTGGTGGAGCGTGTTTGGAGAGCTTCTAACTGCGAGTAACTTCTTTATCATTAAATGTGAAGATGGCCAGGAGGAACGGGTTGCTATGCTCTAGGGATTGGGTCATTATTAAAGCATGTTAACGAGGTATCAGGTGGGTAGAGCAAGGCATCTACCGATTGGGAGATTGCAAATTTCTAGCACATGCATATGTACATATGTACATACATATATACATATATGTACATACATATGTATGTACATATGTATGTATCTGAGACCAAATGAGCTCTTTCTTGAAGATCCACCAAAACCCCCCAAATGACCGGTTGAAAAAAAAACATTTAAGTACAAATGATAAAACAGATTTAAAAAATTCAGTCCAAAGAGAAAAGTCCGTTATAAGAGCACAATTGAAGAAAAGGAATACAACATGAAGCCACGTACTTCTCTCAGACATGTTTCGTGTCACACACTCCCCCCCCCCCCAACCACACTCCTGCCGGAAAACTCAAAAGTCTGGTCAAAAGTGGACAAGGCGAAGACAAAAGCAAAAGGAAACGCAAATTTCAATGGAAGAAAACGCATAAAAACAAAGCTCATAAAAAACAAAGAAATTACTCGGTGGCCAGTGGGAAAATAAACGTGAAAAAGAAGAACGAAAAAATCAATGCGCTACAAGTGTAAATACAACTTGACCACCAGCGGGGAGCAAGAACAGAGGCACTGTGGAAGCTCGATGGCCGGCCACGTCCAGCAGTGGAACAGGCGCCCAGAAAGAATCAGCAGGTTGCTCAGCAACGGCAAGAAAACTCGCGAGAAAAAGCTGCAAAGAGGAGAAAAAAATTGAAGGAAGAACAAGAGCCCGAGAATGAAAAAGCTAAAAAAAATTAAATATGATTAAAAGAAAATAAAAAAACCAGGAGCAGGCAGAGCGAGAGAGAAAGAGACAGAAAATGAAGCTGACAGAGAAGGAGGGCCCGAGAAAAGTTTGCCAAGAAATACGCTGGGGATTCAAGAGCAACAAGCGAGCGGTGAGTGGCCCAGTGAGGGGTGTGAAGCGTGCCAGGAGGGAGGGTAATGGGAGTTGGGTCTGAGGCTGGGGCTAGGGCTGGGAATGGCACTGCACTGGTGCGGATGCAATTCAGGCACGTAGACCTACGGGAAGGTATCTGTATCTCCTTCTCCGACGTTCCACGGGAGCGAAGAACCAAGGAGAGGCGAAGGAAAAGTTTCTGTCTGCGAGTGGTTGGCGGTGCTCCCGGTGCTGGTCAAGTGGACGCACCACCGCCATCACTGACACCCACACAAAACAACAGGCAACAGGGACATACATAACAGACATCAACATCAGCGGTAGAGGCAGTGGCAAGGACAAAAGCAACACAAGCAAAACTGCTCAGGCCGTCAACGCCATTTTCATTTTGTAACTGTTGACAATGTCAGCCTCCATGGAGAGCCTGGTTGGAATACGTTGGACACGGCTGTGGACTAGGCTGAAGGCTAAAACAGAAAATGACGAGAACAGAACAATGGAAAGGACACAATGGACAATGGACAACAGCGTCCCGTAACGTTAATTGCATAACATGCAACAAGGAATATAGTCGCTTAAGAGTGTTCTATGTCCTCCATTTCCTATTATACGATACACCGCGGCAGCTTCTGTCTGGAGCGTATCTACCGGACTTTCGTTTAAGACCAATAAACTTTTTCTATTTATAATTTCGTTCATGCTGTGAAAAATCTGGGTTTTTTTTTTGAAGAATTTGTATTAATCTTTGTCTTTTTTTCTTTATTAGATATGGTCTTTATGTCTTGGCTTTGCTTTTGCATTTGCCTCAGCCTCTGCCATGTCAACACAAAAATGTTGCAAGACAGTTGGCGTAGCCGTTACAAGCGCTACTTTCCTTCGCTGCTGTTTTCTGCTCATTCCGCTTATTCATTAATATTGTTTACCAAAGCATTTTTCGTCCAGAGAGCAGCTGTCTCTGTCCCTGTCTTGGCTTTATCCCTGGACGGCATCAACTTGAAAAACACAAACCGTTGCCATGACCATGGCCATGCCCATCGGGTTGCCGTCGCCTCCTTTTCCATTTGTATCCCCAATCCCATTCCGGGGCCTGTCATGTCCGTCTTTCTTGTTTGTCTTAAGTTGAAATTTGAGCTCCAAAGACAATAGCCGAGTTTTTTAAATAACTTCCCGGAAGCTCAGAAATCAAATAGCGATTTTGGTTGGGTTTGGGAGGGGTCGAGAGTGCGCTAAGGGATACGAATACTCGTACGAGTATGTGGACATTCCAGTTTTGGTGGTGGCTTTTCCTGAGCTTTCTTCGCTCTCCCACTTTGCCTCTACTTCAATTAATTTCTTCTGCTCAAGATATTTCACTTTCCTTATTAGCCTTCTCCAGACATTCTTTGTGCTTCGTCTGGGTCCGAAAACGGGGGAAAATTCCTGGCGGTGGGGTTTGTAATTTTGAACTGTCGCTTTGTCGACTGCTTTCTGGGCGTCCAGTCCTCCCCCACGGCCCACGTCTGTCTATCTTCATTAATGAGTTTGTCTCATCTTTTTCATTTCGTTTTAGCACATGCTGCGCAGGTCATGAGTCAACTTTTAAACAAGTAAAGGTAAGTGCAGATAGTATGTACAGATGTTTCTCAATATTCGAGCAAGTATTTCATTTTAATCTCGTGCGAATCCTCAGTCCTAATTAATCCTCACTTTCCCCCGCTCGACATTATCAGTTTAATAAACTGCCCACCCAAAAAGGGGACCCAAAAGTAGCTTCCAAGTTCCTGGTAAGGCTCGCTAATACTAGCCCCAACACCCCAGAACCCCCTTCCCCAAGTCAACTCATTACGAGTCGACAAAAGAAGCGAAAAGTGAAAGTCGCTCCCTGAACAGAAAATGTTGAAAATGCGCGTTAAGACTTTTCCGGAGGAAGGGCGTGGGCGCACCTACGCAGACCCTTGTCGGGCGGCTAAGAGCACAAAGTAATGCCAATACTCCTGCAAGGCGGCACCACAAGTGTTTTCCAACTCATCAGCGGATGCTGGAGAGGGAGGAACGATGAGTAGTGATAAGGTGGGCGTGGGATGGGGATGGGTCTGTGCGTGGGTGGGGTCCACCATCGCATTTCCCCAAGAAATTTTCCCAAACATATTTCAGCGACTGTCGCTGCGCACTCGCACTCGCACTCAAACAGGCATATACAGACATACGTATAGAGGTACTCCCCCTTTTCTCCGACCCCATCCACCACCCGCTCCCCTCTTCTCCAAAAATCCTCGTGTTTCGTCGTCGTCAGCTATCTCGTTCCCACGTATGTGCCAAAGTTTTTCCACGAGCTGTGCTTTCCTTTTTTCCTCGTCTTTTCCACCCACACGAAAAAGTTCGTCGTTGTCGCTGCTGGTTTTCCTCCGTTAGTAGATATCCTTTTACATTTGTATGTGTGTGCATCTGTGTGTGAGCATTATTGAATGTTTGCGTATGTATGTGTAGCTGTTATATACAGTGCTTCTCTGCTCTGCTCATATAAGAGTTATGCGCCCCATTCATACGTCGCGGGGCCCTCGCAGACTCGATGCCAGCTCCCCCAATGGGGTCTGACTCTTAAAGCCCTTCCCTCCAATGCAGTGTTTGGAGAGGGAAGAATGCACCCCCCATCCCACTGATTCGAATTGGAGTGTAGGATAACCTACCCATGTAGAATGCTTGGTGGAACACCGCTGAGTGTGAGAAGGAATATTATGACAATATTATAACCTTACTTTTTTTTGTACAGCGAAACCTTCTAATTATCCAGTCCAAGACGAAGAGCTTTTGATATGGGACCATCTTTGAGCCTTATGTGTCTTTTTTTTGTCATTCTCAGACATTAACCCCATTACCGCCCGGTTACGCATTCAAACTCGACTATTACACATACAGCTAACTACATAAGTATTCCCATACTCCCACGCCCACACCCTCCTCTCCTCCTATTTCTTCCCTTTCCCTTCTTTCCCTGTGTTCAAATGTGAACACGTTCAAGAGCGACAAGCGAAAGATTTTTCAGCTTTTCACACAATTGAATGACTTTTTCACACGCTTAAATTATAATTCCAGTTAGTTTCTTAATTCGGGTGCTGCCCAAGGCGAACTACGAGTTCGACCATGCTCATACGAGCCCCTTGGGTTACACATGAGCATACATTTCGAGGAGACTGTGAACTCTACTAAAACACTGTGGCATAGGCTAATTTAAATTTTCGTCTTCCCTTTAAGAAAGTTGACCAGGCCGTGACTTGTGCGCTGCCTCATTAACTGTGGCACATAGTTCCGTGTTCAGCTCCGCTCCGCTCCCCCCGCCCGCTCCACTGCGCACCGACACTCTTATCGCCAAGATAAAAATCGATTCGCGCGGTCGTCGCCACCACCACCACCACCACAACAACTGACCAGCAACGCGGCGGGCAACTTTCCTAACTTAACCTTTATTGTCCGAAAGTTGTTCTTCTTATTACTCTGGTATTTTTTTCTTTTCTCCTACATTTTCTTGCACTTTTTCTCGGCTTTTCTTCGTGGGGGTAAATATATTTTCGAGGTAAATTTACATTTTGCTGAGGGCTGCGCTGCTCTTCCTTTAAAGTTGGTCATTCCTAGACGTAGCTAGCCCGGCGTCTCAGTCGCCGTCGTCCGCTTTAAGCGATGTTTATCTTTGTCATAATATGCGCTGGGAATCACCTTAAAGTGATATTATCAGAGCCCGTTCCCCGTTCTCCGGGTAAGCCTCTTTTTGTCTGCTCGAATTTCTTTTCGCTTTGTTCGAGGGTGGAGGAGATCTTCTGCATCTTCGTCTGCTGGCTCCAGCTGGCTTCCCCTTGATTTGCGCTACTGTTTTATGATTATTAAAACGTCTCTCTCTCTCTCTTTCTCCATGCCTCTTGTATGGTGTATGTCCTATGTGTAGGTGGCTTTTATCGGGTCTTGTCTCTTTCTCTAACAAACACAGTTAGTAATTCTCTTTCGGACAACGGTCATTCATTGTTTTTGATTACATCTCGAGTTGCGTTTCCCAAATGAGTCTTTGAGCAATTAAGATTTCAGAGTCGCTGGGCGCTACAAAGATTATGGAGATATGTACTCGTATATTTAAAAAAAGAATTGGATTTCGCTATTTTCAAAACTGAAATATGAATTGTATACAAAAATGGGATTAGGGATTTCCAATGCATAGAAAATTTGTAGTTATCTCCCGTAAATTGATATCGGATTCCTGTTCCACAGAAGATAACCAATATTGGTCCTTGGTCCTCTATAAAATTGTCATTCCCAAATTGTTTCGTGAACATCGAGTTAAGTTTGGACAAACTTTGCAATTGCTCACACAAACCAACCAATGGAAATGTTAAAGGGAAAAACTTTTAATTGACTCATATTTGTAATTAGAAAAGGCAATTCAACTTTTGTTTAGAGCTTCAGAAACTTTTGGAACGCTGCTTTGGAATACTTCAGTCAAGAAAAAGAATTATTTAAAGTTCAAAATTTGCAAAGCCAAAGCCAAAGACGCTAATCACTATATTTATGTGAAACATTTTGAATGTCCGATGGCCTGGAGCCTGGAGGGAGCCAATGCAATAGTAGTGATTTCAATGTTTTCTTTGCAACCTTCATGCCAAGTCGCTTTTATGCCTTCTTTTTATGCCAAGGCTATCAGTATCAAGAGTGGCCACACCCCACAGTGGAGCACATACGAGTCTGTCTCTCTGCCACACGTGCAGCAAGCGGCAAAATCCCAGACAATGGACTGGGATTATGCAGATCTGAGCTCAATGCAGTTGGACAATTGATGTCTCTGTTAGCCAACAAAGAAGACCTGGCCAAATGCCAGTCTAGAGCTAATCGTATAAAAAATAATTTAAAATAATCAAATAATATTTATTTATAGCCGCTCAAATGGCTTTATTGTTTTCAATGAATTCGAGTACTCGAGTACTGAAACTGCTGTGTGTGCCAGCCAGCTGCATCAAAAGATGCCCAACGGCGCCATATTCTATGCGCGGGGAAGAGGGCGGGATGGGAGGACAGTGGGTAATGTTAATAATGACGAGTGTCAAAGGCGACACTGATCGGAACGTTTTTTTGGCATCACGATGCCTCACGCGCCCATCTCTAGGCCACACCGAAGCCGAAGACCTCAGCTTTGTTGCTACTGAGGCGCCAGGAGAGTCGGGATAGCTTTTTGTTTAGCTTGGTGTGGTCCATTGTTCTCCCCCATTGTCCACCTTGAAGCATGGGAGGCTTTTGTTGACCCAGATGCCAGGAATGGCCCAAAGGAACATGAGCGTCCGTGTGCCCTCCCACATGTGAATAATCATTTGTCAAGTGCATTACATCATCGTCACGATCATCTGAATTACATTTAGACACAAATTACGCTTATCGCGATGCCTGGCGCTGACCATTGTCTAGACTTGTGACTGAGCCCTGTCTAAATAGAGGATTATCCTAGCGCCAGGATTAGAAGACCCGGTCCACAACCCACAGTCCAGAGTCCTAGTTCAGACTCAGATTCAAATTCGGGCTCAGACAAAAGCGAAATCAAATAAACATTAGCAGGCAGGAGAATGCAAAAATCCTTTAGCAGCAAAAGTTAAGATTAGAATCGTCTCGCCGACCGAGAGGCAGGCAAAGGCGAGGTGCAGGATTTGGCCTGGAGTCTGCTCTGATCTTGTGGCATCGGGAGCGACGGAACACTATTAGTGACCACAAGACAGGGGCGGGTAATCCTCTACACGCCGTAAATTAGGTCAGTCTGAGAAAAGGACAGGAAACTGCTGCTGTTTCGGAAGCATCGGATAATCATCACAATTAGGCAAGATCAGTGATTAAGTGTCATGTCTGTCGCTGCTCCTTAAGTAAACTGACAATCGGGCAGTTGAATTTCTGTCTGGCTGCTCAACCGAACTGTATTCGATAGGCAGCTTCAAGGAACTCAAATTTCATAGCAGTTTTCGGGAAAACGCTCGAGATCTGTACTGATTTATGGATGAATAATTCTATGAATACATAGAATCTGTGATCCCTGCCACAATTTTCCACACTTCAGGTTGCCCCACTCTACAATACAATAGTCGTAATCAAGCTCATGCGAATTTTTGAGTGCTTTCGCCATACAATAAATTTATTCACGCCCAACGGACGGCCCCCCATCAACACGTATCTGGAGTAAATCTGAAGTGCCACTCGCAACGGAGATCACCACTCTGCTACTGTTCTTGTCCAGCACCCAGCTACCAGCTGGTGTCGGGGATCTGGGTGTCTGCAAGGAGCTCACAAGTGGACAAAAAGCTGGGAACCAAACCCACTATCAACATGCTGTCGTATCCTTTTGCATATCCTTGGGCTACAGAAGAAGCGACTAAAACAGAAAGCCAAAACGAATGCAGGCGCTTTGGCTTTTATTGCTTCATTTCGCTGTGCGATTTGTTTTGATTTCAGCGTTTGATAACCTTTTTGTATGTTGCTGTTGCTGCTTTTTGCCTTTTTTGTTATTAGTAATTGTTGCCAATTCCCTGCGGATATGACGTTTTCTGGTATCTATGTCTGCCTCAACTCGAATTCGCATTGTTCGACTTGTAGGTTG